TAAGGTTGTGGGGAGCGCAGCGGTTGGAGAAGACAAGATCAAGGATATTACCGTTGGAGTGGGTGGTGGATTGTATGCACTGTGCAAGTGCAAAGGAGGAGGTTAAGTGGAGGAGATGGGATGTGTCCGGGTTGTCGAGGTTGACAGGGATGTTGAAATCCCCAAGAATGATGGTGGGTAGCTCAGAGGAGAGGAAGAAGGGTAGCCAGGAGAAAAAGTCATCCAGGAAGCGGGGTATGGATCCAGGAGGCCGGTATATCACAGCAATCTTCAGGGGGGTTGGGGAGAATAGTCGGACGCAGTGGGCCTCGAAGGAGGAGAAGGATAGGGAGGGGGGGTTTGGGAGGACTCGGAAGGTGCTCTGCGGTGACAGGAGCAGACCAACCCCAACACCTTTACGACCGTTAGGCCTGGGTGAATGGGTCCAGGTGAGACCTCTGTAGGAGAGTGCAGCAGGGGAGGTAGAGTCAGTGGCCTGGATCCAGGTTTCTGTGATCACTAGGAGGTTGAGGGAGCGGGAAACAAAGAGGTCGTGGATGGCGGTAAGCTTGTTGCACACCGATCGGGGCGTTCAGGAGTGCACATGAAAACGGGGGGGGGGAAATTTTAGGGAGCAGGGGGACAGATACTAAGTTACGGGGGTTGCGGCAGGACGTGGAGGCGGGAGGGTGTTGTGCGGGTGAGGGAGGTGGTGGAGGGCCAGGATTCGGGGAGATGTCCCCCGCAGTTAGGAGGAGGAGAAGGGTGAGAAAGGTGGCATGGGAGCGGGATGTGCAGGAGCGTGAGCAACTACTAGTGGAGGTGTTGGGGTCAGTGGGAGTGGAGTAATAGGAGGAGGTAGTGGGGTGCCGTAGAGGGGCGAAGGAAGTAGTGAGGACACAATATATAAATGTTTGGGAGGGGCAGAGGGATATAGTGAATGGATTTTGGGAACGGAGGAGAGGAAAATGAGAAGGAGGAGTGGAAGAGGCATTTTGGGGAGGTGATGAGAGCAGTAATAGGGAGATGATAGCAATGAGGGGGAGATGTACAAGTTTTGGGGTGGAGCAGAGGGGTAAAGAAATGATATTTGGGAACAGAGGATAGTAATATGATACTGCTGTGTTTTAACTGCTTCGCACTCCTTCAACGCAGCACTCGAACTAAAGCAGCACCCCCATCAGAGATCTCCCCCCATGCGCTGATCTAAATTTATAGGGAGATGCTCAAATGAGCATTCAACTCCACCCCAATTAGAAGCTGATAAGGATCACATGACTAGTGGGGGATGTTTCTCAGGAAACAGGCTACAGTCATAAAACTGGGTGCAGCTAGAAGTGAGGACTGGTCAACATACACACACAAATAAAATACACCATTTGTTCTGAATTTAACAGGAGTCAATGCGTTTTTCTAGTTAAGAGCGGAGATAGGAAATAGAAGCATTTACCCAAATAAAAATAAACAGAAATAAATAATAATTTAAATAAATGAATATGTAATAAAAAATAATAATTAACCCCTTGACCCCATAATCCTTATTTTTTTAAATAATAAAATAAAAAAAAATAATATTAATAATATAAACTTCCTAACCCTATCACAAAATAAATAATATTCATGAAAAAATTATTATGAATAATATTTTTTTCAGGTTTGGGTGTTTATTATTATTATAATAATTAATAATTTTTTTAGGTTTGGGTGTTTATTACTTTATTATAATAATAATTATAATTTTTAATAATTTTTTTTTTTTAGGTTTGGGTATTTATTATTATTACTTTATTATTTTATTAAGCACACGGGACGTTTTTACAGCGGCTGTTTTTGGCTTTTGATGTTTTTTTTCTACAGCCAGTAAACCCCCCAGCATGTTATCCTATGTGTCCATGCACACAGACTGTAATCAGCGATTTTTGGCAGGGGTTTTTTTTGGCTGGAAAAAGACCCCCCAGAACTAGAAGGGATTTTTTAGCTTTAACACTGAAAAACGTGGCATAACACGGTAAAACTCAGCAAATTGCGGCAAACTGATGTTTTTGGATGTTTTTTTGGTAAAAAACGCTGAAAAACTCACGTTTCTAACATGACTTTCCACAGCTAGCGTTACGCCCAGTGTGCATGGAGCCTAATTGTTATTATTATTAATAATAACAACTTTTTCAGGTTTGGGTGTTCTGATTATTTTAACAATAATAATTAATGATTATTATTAATAATAACATTAATGTATTTAATATATTTTCTGTAGGGTTAGAAGGGTAGGGATAGTGATTACTTATTTATTATTACATATTATTCATTTATTTGATTCATTGTTTATTTATGATTATTTTTTATTTATTTGTGCATTTATTTTACACATATATATATACACAGATATATATATACATACATATATATATATATATATATATATATATATATATATACACACACACATACATACATAGTAATAATATAGGATTAAATGGAAAATAAATGCACAAGTAACTATATAAAAATATATAATAATATAAACTATATATATATATTTTTTTTTTCATTTGAGCAGAAAAATGTCCAAAAATGCACATATCCATTCATTTCAATGGAATTTCAAACCACAAATCTGGCTGATTTGAGCAACAAAAAAAGCACCAGAACTTGTTGGAGCTTCAGGCGACTTGGAATGGAGATGTGAACCATCTCCAATGGAGAGTAATTGATGTTTTCTCCTCAAGCGTTTTGGAGCTTTGAGCTACAAATCACTCGTGTGTGAATGGGGCCTTACATCCCGGGCACATCAAGCCCGACCAGGAGCGGAGTAACCACTTGGAAACTCGGGCACTGCCCGAGGGCCCGGGGTCAGTAGGGGGCCCTATGAGATGCCCCTGGTAACTTTTTCATAGGCTTTTTCGAGTTTGGGCAAGGACACAGGGGCCCCATGATCCCCTATTGCCCGGGGGCCCCATGAGTTGTCAGTCCGCCCCTGACTGCTAGTTTTCCCATGTGAGCAAGGCCTTAGGAAGAAGTTGCTCAGATCTTGGCCAAACTCAAAAAAGCCTATGAAAAAGGTACCAGGGGCATCTCATGGGGCCCCCTACTGACCCTTGGCCCTTGGGCAGTGCCCGAGTTTCCAAATAGTCAGTCCACCCCTGCTAGTAGTTCAGTCTTCCTGACCGCCCATGGAAAGCCTACCAAGGCAGCCAATGACAACTTTCTGCAGGCAGCCTTCTTGGCTCCTCCGACAGCTCTACTCTCTGCACAGGCTATGTAAAACACAGTGATGATGTCACTGCTACTTCACAAGGTAATATCTGGGCACACAAAGGGGTTTCGGTGCAAATATATCCTTTGTGGCTGTTGAGGAATATACTTAACCCCTTGTCTTCCAGAGGATTTCCCATCCTTCCTAACCAGGCCAGTTTTTGCGATACGGCACTGTGTTACTTTAACTGACAATTGCACGGTCATGCAACGCTGTACATAAATTTTAATATGTAATTTTTTCACACGAATAGAGCTTTCTTTCGGCCGTATTTGATCACCTCTGTGTTTATTTTTTGCGCTATAAACAAAAAAAAAAACAAACAAAAAAAACCTGACAATTTTGAAAAAAACCAATATTTTTTACTTTTATAAAACATCCAATAAAAAAAAAATTTAAAAAATCAAATTTCATCACAAATTTAGGCCAAAATGTATTCTGCTCCATGTCTTTGCTAAAAAAAATAATCCCGATACGTGTAAATTAATTGGTTTATGTGAAAGTTATACATTCTACAAATGGCGGTATATATATGTACTGGGATTTTTTTTTTTATACTACTAATGGCGTCGATCAGCGACTTATAGAGGGACTGCGGTGGGCATTCTGACACTGGGGGGGGGGGGGGGACTAATTGCCACTGACATCCCCAGTGACACCAATACAGTGAGCAGTGCTAATAAAAAGCACTGACACTGTACTAATGACACTGGGCAGGAAGGGGTTAACATCTGGGGTGATCAAAGAGTTAACTGTGTGCTGGGAGTGTTTTACTCCGGAGACATGCTGCTGTGCGGAGAGAAATACACAGCAGCAGCATTGCTGACAGGGGAGAGACCTGTGTATACACACAGATCTCTCCCCTCTCAGCTCTACTGATGATCACCGAAGTCCCGGTGATTGACATCTCGATCAGCCAATAACAGCACGAGTAGGGCGCTAGAGTCTCCTACCCGAAATCCAAATCATGTATAGATCAGTGATTTTGCGCAGCCCTGCCGCCCTGTATCTATACCTCTGCTATAGGACGGAGGGCAAGTGGTTAAACTACATTTTTTGTTCCCGGAGTTCAGACTTAATATAATTCTGTTCTAAGGCTAGGTTCACACCTATGCAGGGTGCGTTTGAGCCGTTTCTGCATTGCGTTTTTGCACTTGCGTTTTTTTTTTTTCATTTTTTAACATTTTTCTTGTTGCTAGGCAGATTTAAAATGCAAAACACATCAAAAACACAGCAAAAAAGCAATACACGCTTTTCTACAGCGTTTCCATGGCAGTTTATAGAACCAAAAACGCAACTTTTTGCATTAAAAAAAGTCCCTGACCCTTTCCAAAAAACGCACCGGGTGAAAACGCACAGATGTGAACCTGTCCCATAGGAAATCATGTTAAATGGACTGTACTGCGTTTCTGCAAAACGCTGCAGAAAACGCATAGGCATGAACCTGAGGTAAAAGTCACTTATGGGCCAATCTAAACAGCATGTGCAGCCATTGCAGATAATCCCCTGATTGTTTCTAATATATTTTATTCCTATGATCGTCAGCTCCATCTAGTGGCCATAATGCGGTATTTTCCCGAAAGACTTTGATCAGGAAAATACTGCATTATGGCCACTAGATGGAGCTGATGATTATAGATTTTTTTTTCTAAATAGGAAAATGCTGTTTTATAGCAGTTCAAAGTAACAAGTTCTGTCTTTTTTTTTTTTTTTTTCTCCCTCAGAGGTGAAAGACTTTGCTCTGGCTGCTATTCACACTAGCCCTGACTATGCCGTGCGGGAGGTGGACGGCCTCTTTGACGTGTGGGAAGATGCCAAGCAGCGGCTACTCATGGAGGTCCGCTTTTCGTAATTGCATTATCTTTTATTTATACATCCCTTGCATTCTTTGCATTACAACATGGATTGGGGGGGAAATGACTTCCGCATTAGCACCACATGGAACATAACAGACTCATAATTTACAGTAAGAGTTGTACATAGAAGGACTATATTTGCCTTCCCCTTATTCTGGGGAGCAGGGGCACCAAGGAGCGTCCGGGAGGCCGGCACACGCGTTCCGTTCTAAATCTTCCTGGCGGTTCTCAGAGTCTGACATGTTCAGCGTTTTGTATTCAGAGGCAGCTCTGGCTTTCAGATTCCTTCCAATAGCATCCGCTGGGCCCCCTCTTAATATTTCCTGTGTTCTAGTTACTATAGCTAAGACAAAGGTGACTGCTGAGCCGTTTCAAACAGCTGTTTCACCATCCCAGGAAAAAAATAAAATGACGTGTTCTTTTCAGAGCACGCTCACCAGATTTCCCTGGATATGTTCAAACAGAATGAGACTCACGCTCTTGATTTGAACCGTTTTCCTCTTCTGGAGTGCAGAGCCAACTAGAAGTCCCCGAGAGAGGGACTGAGCCATGTTTGTAGCCAAACTAAGATAACACTGACTTTATATTTGCTACATGTTCCCACCTACGTACATGTATGTTACATGTTCCCATTCACATAGCATACAGTAAATATTAGCAGGAGTTCCTCAAGTCTTGATGGGTTTTTTTTTTTCCCAAGGATTCCTCCCTGTTAAAAAATGTTAAGAAAGGTTGTAGTTTACAACTGATAATGAGATCTGCCAGCACAGTACAGACAAGATTGATTATTGTCAACACAAACACTAATCAGCTAGAGCAGGGGTCTCCAATATTTCGAAACAAAGGGCCAGTTTACTGTCCTTCAGACTTTAAAGGGGGCGGACTGCGGCCAATGTGAGTAGAAAAGGTCCTGATGTCAGTGGCAGGAAGGGCACACCATCAGTGGTGTCATTGGGAGGAATTCTGCCTAATCATTGGTGTCATTGTGCCCCATTGTTGGTGTCATTGAGAAGAATTGAGCTCCTTCATTGGTGTCTTTGCAGGAAATTATGCCTCACTGTTGGTATCAGTGGATGTAATAGTGCCCCAAGGGCTGGATAAAAGCAAGCAAAGGGCCACATCCGGCCCCGGGCCACAGTTTAGAGACCACTGATCTAAAACATTATGACCACCCACTGAGACATGGACTTCACTAGAGCTCTGAAGGTATTCTGTGGTTTCCGACACCAAGCCAATTTTCTAACTCTACGTTGTGACGTGGGGCCTCCGTGGATCGGACTTGTTTTACCAGCACATCCCACAGATTCTCAATTGGATTGAGAGCTAGAGAATTTGGAGGCCAAGTCAACAACTCAAACTCCTTGTTGTGTTCCTCAAAACTCAAATTATTCTTGAATTCATCAGAACAAGCCACCATCTTCCATTGCTCCATGGTCCAGTTCTGATACTCCATTTTAAAAATGTTAACCGCTTCCCGTCCGCCCTATAGCACTAATACTGCTACAGGGCGGCATGGGTGTGCAAAACCACATATACACCGTGTTCCAAATTATGCAAATGATATTTTTCTCATTTACCTAAATAATTGATGTAAATAACAGTCAGCATAATTCTCATGTTATCAACTATTAAGAGTACAATTCAAATTTTATTGAACAAACCTCCTAATGATAACAGGATTTTTTTTTTAAACATAAAACACTTCCAATGCACTGTTCCAAATTATTACGCACAGAAAGTTTCAAAACACTTTATAGGTTGTAAAGAACTGAAAATTGTCATTTGTTGTGTTTGCAGCATATTTACTGAAATCAAAAGCTATTTCAATCAAACTTTTAACAACATTTTAACTTTTTAAACATTTTAACAGGTCACGTTACATTGTAACATAGGACCCCTTATTTGATAGCAACTTCACAAGTCTTGCATCCATTGGACTTGTGAGTTTTTGGACAGTTTCTGCTTGAATTTGTTTGTAAGATGTCAGAATAGCCTCCCAGAGCTGCTGTTTGGATGTAAACTGCCTCCCACCCTCATAGATCTTTTGCTTGAGGATGCTCCAAAGGTTCTCAATAGGATTGAGGTCAGGGGAGGATGGAAGCTACACGTTGACTTTCTCTCCTTTTATCCCCATAGCAGCCATTGATGCAGAGGTATTCTTTGCAGCATGAGATGGTGCATTGTCATGCATGAAGATGATGTTATTACGGAAAGCATACGGAGGTCATCTTTACACCTTTGGGGGATCTAAAGGGGCCGACCAGCTCTGTTCCCATGATTCCGGCCCAAAACATGACTCCACCACCGCCTTGCTGACGTCGCAGCCTTGTTGGAACAGGGTGGTCGTCCACCAACCATCCACTACTCCATCCATCTGGACCATTCAGGGTTGCACAGCACTCATCAGTGAACAGGACTGTTTGAAAATTAGTCTTCATGTATTTTTCTGCCCAATGCAGCCGTTTCTGCTTGTGAGCATTGGTTAGTGGTGGCCGAATAGAAGGTTTATGCACAGTTGCAAGACTCTGGGGGACTCTACACCTTGATGACCATGGGACTCCAGAGGCACCAAATATCTGTTTGCTGCTATGTAATGTATTTTAGCAGCTGCTCTCTTGATCCGATGCATGGATCTGGCAGAAATCTTCCTCAATGTGCCTTTATCTGCACCAACCCGTCTGTGCTCTGAATCAGCCACAAATCTCTTAATAGTGCGATGATCACGCTTAAGTTTTCGTGAAATATCTAATGTTTTCATACCTCGTCCAAGGCATTGAACTATTTCACTCTTTTTGGCAGCAGAGAGATCCTTCCCCATATTGCTTGAAAATGTTGCTCTGCTTAATAATGTGGAACGCCGTCCTTTAGTAGTTTTTCTTTAAATTGGGCTCACCGGCCAATCTAATTATCACAGGTGTCCGAGATTATTTTTAGTGATCAAAAGAGCCCTGAGACACAATGCCATCCATGAGTTAAACTGAAAAACAAAATATTGCATCTTTGTGACACTTAAATAGAATTTGCATAATAATTTGGAACGCGGTTTATACGTGATTTTGCATTTCCAGGTAGGGGGCGCGTACCCTAACTGATCTGCTATTCATGGCCTCGGCTGTCAATCACCAGGTCCCAGCCGGTGATTAGTCGGCAGCACCTGGTGATGGAAGAGCATTACCGACGGAGGGAGAGAACTGTATGTAAACAATACAGATCTCTCCCCTGTCAGCTCCTGCACACTGCTTTGTATGGCTCTGCATAGCACACAGTTAACCCTTTGATTGTCTCAGATGTTAACCCCTTCCTGCCCAGTGTCATTAATACAGTGTCAGTGCTTTTTTTTGGCACCGATCACTGTATTGGTGTCACTGTTCTCCCTAGTGTCAGAATTCCGCCGCAGTCTCGCTATAAGTCGCTGATCGCTGCCATTACTAGTAAAAATAAAAAAAAAAAACAGTATCTATACCGCCATTTGTAGACACTATAACTTTCATGTAAACCAATTAATTTACACGTATTGGAATTTTTTTTAGCAAAGAAATGTAACAGAATAAATTTTGGCCAAAATTATGAAATTTGATTTTTTTTTTACTGGACATGTTTAATAGTGAAAAGACAAAATTGTTTTTTTCTCAAACTTATCGGTCTTGTTTTTAGTGCAAAAAATTAAAACCGCACAGGCGATCAAACACCACCAAAAGAAAGCTCCATTTGTGGGAAAAAACAAATGTAAATTTCATTTGGGTGCAGCGTTGCATGACCGCGTAATTGTCAGGTAAAGTAACGCAGAGCGGTAACGCACAAAAAGGCCTGGTCAGGAAGGGGGGGAAATCCTCTGGAGGGCAAGCGGTCAGACGGTTGTAGTGTGCAACTGATAACCATCTGATTATTGTTAACATTATGACTGCCCACCATAACCAGATGAAACATGGATTCCAGGAGACTATTTAAGGTATGCTGTGATATCTGGCATCAAGCCAATCCTTTAAGACCTCTAAGGAAGTTGTAGTTTACAACTGATATTGAGATCTGCCAGCACAGTTCAGATAAGGCTGATTATTATCAATATTTACCGATAAGCCATAACTTTATGACCACCCACCATAATCATTTAAGGCATGGACTCCATTAGACCTCTGAAGGTATACTGTGGTATATGGCCTGTCACGTACCTGATGGGAGACTAAATTGATGAGGTTGGCCTCACTTGTGTCACTAGCCCTGACCCCGCTGATGTTGGAACAAAGGGAGTCTAGGGACCAGGGGGACAAGAGTGCCAGTGGTTGTTGCTTGCAGCTCTTGCAGATGATGACCTTGGAAGGCAGATGATCCTCTGATTTGGACACCGTAATAATAGACAGAGCAGGTTCTGTGGATTGCCAGACGTGCAGCAGAACAAGGTAGGTAGTGAGGACAAGAGACTGGAGCAGAGTCAGGGGATAGCCAGGGTCATCAACAGTCGGGCAGCGCGGTACAGAATCAGAAGAAAAAAGCCAAAGTCAGGAGCAGAGCCGAGGTCAGGAACCGGTAACAGGAGAGTAATCGAAGTCGGGTCAGGAACAAGCCGAATTGGTAACGGAGGAATCGTACAGGAACAAGCAGGACACGGGGGAGCTGAAGACCAGTCAGCACTGAACCTGAGCAGAGGCAAGGCACTCCTTAAATGGGCGGTCTGGCACCAATATTCGCCGTGCATGTGCACGTGCGCGATCGCGCATTCCTGCACGCATGCGCACAACCGGCAATTCTTCTGCGGGAATTCCTATGCGCATGCGCATTCCCGATCGTAATTCTTCTTGCTAGAAATTCCTTACATGGCCAGTCCCTTAAGTTCTGTCTGTTGTGAGGTGGGGGCTCCATGGATCGGACTTGTTTTTCCCAGCACATCCCACAGATGCTCAATGGATTGAGATCTGAAGATTTAATTTGGAGGTCAAGTCTACCTTCTTCCACTGCTCCATGATAACGTTCTGACACTCCATATTAAAAATGTTAAGGAAGGTTGCAGTTTACAACTGATATTGAGATCTGCCAGCACAGTACAGACAAGATCAGTTATTGTCAACATACACTGATCAGACATAACTGGTTATGGTGGGCGGTCATAATGTTGAGACATGGATTCCACTCTGAAGGCATGCTGTGGTATCTAGCACCAGTCCAATCCTTGAATTCTTTAACCTCTTCATGCTGGCCAAACGCAAATGTGCGGCCTCCTGGCGTCTGGGCCTAGACGCCGAGCAAACGCACATTTGCATTCTATTTAAAAAGGACATATGTGCTGAGAGCGCACGCCCTGCGTGCTCCCAGCACACATGTTCGGTACTCACGGAAAGGTCCCGATCTCCTCTTTTGATCGGGACCTTTCCTGATCATGTGACCGCCATGACGGCGCGTCATGGTGGTCACATGACCCTAAACCCCGCCCCGCCTCCCGGCTTCTGAAACTCTTAAAGGACCGGGAGGCACCGGCGTGAAGGAGTTAAGTTGCCAGGTGAGGCCTCCATAGATTGGACTTGTTTTTCCTAGCCCATTCTACAGATGCTCAATTAGATGGGGTTTTGGAGAATTTGGTGGCCAACTCAACATCTCAAACTGGTCGTTGTGTTCCTAAAAACTCAAACCATTCTTGAATTCATCAGATCAGGCCACCTTCTTCCCTTCCTCCATGGTCAAGTTTTGATGCTCCTTGGTTAAAAGTTAAGGAAGGTTGTAGTTTACAAATGATAATGAGAACTGCCAGCACAGTACAGACACAGTAGATTATTGTCAACATATACCGATCAGCCATAACATTATGACCACCCACCATAACCAGTTAAGACATGGACTCCGCTAAACCCGTGAAAGGTATGCTGTGGTATCTGGCACCATGCCAGTCCTTCGTGTTCTGTCAGTTGTGAGGTGAAGCCTCCATGGATCGGACTTGTTTTTCCAGCACATCCCACAGATGATCAATGGATTGAGATCTGAAGAGTTTGGAGGCCAAGTCAACACATGTTGTCCCTAAAGTTATGAAAAAATGGGCAAGCATAAGGATTTGATGCTCGGTTCACACTAGTGCGAGTGAAAACTGCCGTGGAACCCGCAGCTGCAACCACCCACACGCGGGTTGCGCCGACGGGTGCCATTAATCTTCATGGAACGCTGCCCGCCCTAGAAATTGCACCCGTGCCGGGAACCACACAGTAGTGCAGTTCCTAGTGTGGGCTGCGATTTCTGGAATGGTGCAGGGACCTTTTCCTTGCGCCATCTAGTTGCCGAAATGCAATATCATTTCCTCATTGAGAATTTTCCGAAAGCTGTACCCTATTTTGGCCACTAGATGGTGATGACAATACAGGCATTGATCTCTTAGAAAAATGAAGGTGACTTTTCGTTCAGCTTGCACGGATGCTTCTGACGTTGTTGCAACAAATGTTTTATGAATAGAGCCCCTGGAGATGACATCACTTGCTCTAAAATAAGAAATTGAAAGGTTTCATTTAAAAATCTGATTAGGCTGTAGATGAGAGGGGGAGGGAGGACGCAGGGAAGGCAACATGTAAGCAGAACTTTCAATAAAAACCATGTATAGTTTTCTTCTACAGGACATCATTATCTTGGGTGACTATAACGCTGGCTGCAATTACGTGAAGAGTACGCACTGGCCCATGATCCGTCTTCGTCATGAGCCCAGCCTGCAGTGGCTGATTGGTGATAATGCAGACACCACTGTGAGCACCAACACCAACTGCCCATATGACAGGTGAGAAATAGGCACTGCCACATGGAAGTTCCTGGGGAACCTGAAGAGCAAAATCATATACATGTAAATCCAACAATACTGCATTATGGCCACTAGATGGTGCTGGCTATCACAGGAAATAAGTATTCTCTTTGGTGCCATCTAGTGGCCATAATGTGGTATTTTTTGTATTTGCACATTCAAAGGGCAGAGAACATAGCTGGAAGACATTCAGTTTTTGCCATTTTCCCACAAAATGGATCCATAATTTGATGGACAAACAGCTATGCAATTTTTTTTATAAATACACCCCTAGGTGTAAGGCTGGCACAAGGGGTGGGCAGGAGGGGAAGCTGCCCTGCACACAGAGGTTGGGGGGGGGGGGGTGTTACCAAGAGGAAATTGGGGGGAGGAGATTTGTGTTGGAAGGGGGAAATTGGGGGGCAATAATTGTTCTAGGAAGGGAAATTTGGGGAGTAGTAATGTGGAGGATCTGTGTTGGGAGGTGGGATGGGGCAAATATTTGTACTGGGAGGGAGGATTTCAGCAGGGGGGTGGATTTGTACTGGGAGGAGGGGGAATGTATGCTTAGCGTGCAGATTTTCGCTCGATTTGTTTTGGGGGGGATTTTTGCTAAAACATAATGCTCATACATCTTGGGGGGGGGGGGCACATTTTGGCATGTACGCTCTGAGCTGTAGATGACCTTGTCCCAGCACTGCCTAGGTGGTATTGCTATCTCCCTTGTTATTATTATTTCTAGGATTGTTGTTAGTGGATCAGGTCTACAGAACTTAGTTGTCCCAGGCTCAGCACTACCAGGAGGAAAATACCACATCGTGGCCACTAGATGGTGCTCACTATCACAGGAAAGAAGTATGTTTATCAGCGCCATCTAGTGGCCTTATTGTGGTATTTTCTACATACTAAATTGCAAAGAATAGAGCCTGAGAACATTCGGTATTGCTCCAATCGCACAGAATGAATTTACATGTAGTTTTTTTGATGAACAGCTGTTATTATTATACAGGATTTATATAGCACCCAACAGTTTACGCAGCACTTTACAACATAGGGGCAGCCAGTACAAGTACAATACAAATGAATACAGGAAGGATCAGAGGGCCCTACTCGTTAGAGCTTACAATCTAAGAGATGCACATTTTTATAAACACACCCCTATGTGATATTTTTATCTCCCTTGTTATTGTTTCCAAGATTGTAGCTAGAGGATCTACAGATTGCAGAGAACATAGCCTGATAAGATTCGGTTTTGCCCACATAATAAATCCACATTTTGATGCAAGTGTTGTCCCCGTCTCAGCAAAGGCTTTCAAGTACCAAGAAGAAAATACTGCATCATGGCCACTAGAGGGTGACTATAATAGGAAATAACTGTGCTCCTCTGCACCATCTAGTGACCATAATGCAGTATTTTCTGCATTCACACATTCAAATTGCAGAGAATATAGTTACATAGTTAGTCTGGCTGAAAAAAGAAAAAAGTCCATCCAGTTCAACCATAAAAAAAAAAAGTTCTAATCCTATACCCACAGTTGACCCAGAGGAAGGCAAAAAAACCCCAGCAAAGCATGATCCAATTTCTACTACAGGGAAAAAAATTCCTTCCTGATCCCCCGAGAGGCAATCGGATATTCCCTGGATCAACTTTACCTATAAATGTTAGTATCCAGTTATATTCTGTGTATCCAAGAAAGAATCCAGGACATTTTTTCATAGATTTAATATATTGAATAGCTTTAAATAGAATAGAATAAAATAGAATATAGTCGTCTTCTGAAATTCGAATTTCAAAAGGTATAGAATAAAATAGAACAGAGTAAAACAGAAGAGAAATAGAAAAGAGTAGAATAGAAAAGAAGAGAAAATAAAATAATAGAATAAAATAGAATATAAAAGGAAGAGAATAGAATCAAAATAAAAATAAAAAGATTATAGCTTTCTTCCAAAATTTAAATTTTGAAAAGAATAAAACAAATAAAATAGAATTGAAAAGAAATTAAATTTCTTTTCCTCCAGAGGTAAAGAGTGCCCCCTTGTCCTCTGTGATGACCTCAGGGTGAAGAGCTCTACACCGATATAGCCTGAGAACATTCAGTTTTGTCCCAATTGCATTAATGAATTCACATGCTTCGATAGATGAACAGATAGTCAATTAAAAAAAAAAAAAAAAGTGATATTTTTTCCCTGTTTATAATTTTTTCAGGATTGTAGAGCTCCAGAGCTCGGTTGTCCCTGGCTCAGCAAAGGCTTTCAACTAGTAAAATACTGCATTATGTCCACTAGATGGTGCTGACTATTACAGGACATAGGTATGCCATAGGTATGCTCCTCAGTGCCATCTAGTGACCATAATGCAGTATTTTCTGTACTCACACATTCAAATTGCAGCTAACATAGCCTGAGAACATTCGGTTTTGTCCTAATCCTCCTAGATTGTAAACTCCAAGGATCAGGGCCCTCCTATCCCTCTTGTATTGAGCTGTATTGTTGCTGTATTGTCTCCTGTTATATTGTAAAGCGCTGAGCAAACTGTTGGCGCTATATAAATCCTGTATAATAATAAATCGCACATAATGAATTCACACGCTTTGATGGATGAACGACTTTGAAAATGTTTTAATAAATACAATCTTAAGTGATATTTTTTTATCTCGCTTGTTATATTTTTTTCCAGGATTGTAGCTATTGAATCATGTCTATAGAACTCAGTTGTGCCAAGCACAGTGAAGGCTTTCAACTACCAGGAGGTAAATACTGCATTATGGTCACTAGATGGAGCTATCATAGGAAATAAGTATGCTCCTCAGCACCATCTAGTGGCCATAATGTGATATTTTTCTGCATTCACACATTCTAAATTGCCTAGAATATAGCCTGAGAACATTCAGTTTTGCCCCACTCGCATAGAATAAATTTACACTCAGTTTTGATAGACGAACAGCTATGCAAAATGTTTTATAAATACACCCCTAAGTGTTATTTTTTATCTCTCGTTATTTTTTCCAGGATTGTAGTTGGTGGATCAAGTCTACAGAACTCAATTGTCCCAGGCTCAGCAAAGGTTTTCAACTACCAGGAGTCATATGGACTCACTTATGAGGAGGTGAGAAGACACATTGGTGGTTGCACATATTTAATCTATTTTGTGTGTAATACCTTGAAATATATACATTTTGTCTTGAATGTCTCTTGAAAATTTGCAGTGTGCTAGTATGTGAGGGTGCCTAGGCACTTTTCTGCCCAAAGCGTGATAGCTGTGTGTACAGTTGTGCTCAAAGGTTTGCAATCCCTGGCAGCAATTGTGAAATTTTGGCATTTATATTGAAAATATAACTGATCATGCCCAAAAAAAACTGTCTTTTATTTAAGGTAAGCGATCATATAAAGCCATTTATTATCACATAGTTGTTTGGATCCTTTTTTAATCATAATAACAGAAATCACCCAGATGGCCATGATCAAAAAAGTTTCCATCCCCTGGAATGTTTGGTCATGATACAGACACACAAGGCGACACACACACACAGGTTAAAATTGCAATTGAAGGTTAATTTCCCACATCTGCGGCTTTTTAAATTGCAATTAGTGTCTGTGTATAAATAGTCAATGAGTTTGTTAGCTCTCACGTGGATGCACTGAGCAGGCTAGATACTGAGCCATGGGGAGCGGAAAAGCTCTATCAAAAGACCTATGTAACAAGGTAAGGGAACTTTATAAAAATGGAAAAGGATATAAAATATCCAAAGCCTTTAATATGCCAGCCAATACTGTTTATTCACTTGTTAAGAAGTGAACAGTTTGGGAATCTTGTGATACCAAGCCAAGGTCAGGTAGAGCAAGAAAGATTGCAGCCACAACTTCCAGAAGAACTACACAAAGGAATACCCACTGGTAACCTCAGGAGAAATACAGGCTACCCTGGAAAAAGACGTGGTTGTTTTTCTAAGGTGCACAATATGATAATACTTGGACAAAAATGACCTGCATGGTCGAGTTGCCAGAAAGAAGCCTTTAATGCGCCAATGCCACAAAAAAAAAAAAAACTGGTGAGGCATGTCAAGGTGTTGTCAGATATATTATAACCACCATGCTTTTTTTTGGCTTTGGCACAGTAAAGGCTTCTTGCTGGCAACTCGACCATGCAGCTCATTTTTGTTCAAGTATTGTCATATTGTGCGCCTTAAAAAAAAAAAAAAACACACAGTCTTTTTCCAGAGCAGTCCTGGTTTTGCCAAGTTGCGTTGGTCGTAGAACCGTCAGATGGAAGTTGTTCAATCAGCCACAGCTCAAGGAGCCACTAGCAACCTGTGGAGGAACCCTGGTTAAAAATGGTTGCAAACGGACATATAAAGTTTCCCTTTACATTGTAAGCTGTCACAGATACGGACCCTCTAACCCTCTTGTCTTGAATTGTATTGTAACTGTACTGTCTACCTTTATTTTTGTAAAGCGCTGTGTTGGTGCTATGTAGATCCTGCTTAATAATAGAAGACCTTACAGAGATTCTGCTTTTCTAACTGCAGGCCAAGGCAGTTTCTGATCACTATCCAGTGGAGGTGGAACTACATAAAGACTGTGAGTACTCCGGTGCATTATTTATGGGTTCAATAAAACTGGGAATTCTGCAGACACAACTTTAGGGCCAAGTATTCAGCTGGTGCAGTCTAAGGCTGGCTTGCTGGAAGAATAACGGAAGAAAGCCCCATTACCATCACCATCATGTCTTAATGTGTTTCTCTATATTCAGTAAAAGTAGAACTATGGACAACATAACTTACTGTATATTATGAAGTCTGCCACTAGCATTAAAATGGAGCTCTAGACATGTTGCACCCACCTCTCTTCCCTACCAACCCCCTGAAGCCCTCCACAACAACCCCCACATCCCCCCATACATACCTTTTTTCTTCAAGCCTTCCAGCTTCTTCTGGTAGGAGCTGGGGGGAAGGTGGCCATTCTTCCATGATTGAGTGGCTTTCATCTAATAATGTGATAGTGCTTCTTAGTCTTGGAGTACTCTGAGCCCAGCCTGTGGGACAAGGCACCCCCTGGGGGGGGGCTGTAAATTATGGCCTGGCTCACAGGAAATCAGTGGAGTTTGGGGCTGACCTGAAGAGAACCACCGCGCTGAACCAAGGAGGAGGTCAGGGACTTCGCTGGAGCGTGGAAGGGGGAAGGGGGAAGTGAAGATGGACACTTTATCGTAACAGTTTTTGTTTTTCTGAGCCCCCCTGTAACAAAGTTGTATTACCTTTTGGTCCTGCCCATAGATCCTTTATTTTTGACTTCCTGTAATGGGGTTATCTGTAATCTGTCAATGGACCCAAAGAACCGGTTCGGGAGTGAGCCCACATGAGTGTCCCCATAGCAAGCAGCACACAGCGGGGGACCCTAAAAGAGGAGGCTGCTCTGTGCAAAACCATTGCACAGAGCAGGTAACATGTTTGTTGGCTTTTTTAATTAGAACATTTACAATCACTTGAACTGGTTCCCTATTGTACAATGACGGTCGGGCAGACCGCTCTCCTTCTGGGAGGATGTCATATGACAACCTCCCATTCTTGTCGCGCATATGCACCCCTGGTGATCATCCCTGGGATCGGTGGTGAGTTGTGTCCCTTGGAACAGTGCATCAACGATCAGAGTAAAGAGCCAATCATGTTGGCTCTTTACCATGTGATCAGCTGTGTTCAAATCACAGCTAATCACATGTAAACAAATGCTGTTATCTGCATTTCCTTTCCTGAGCGCTGTCACTGTCTGAGGAAAGGAAAGCTGATAACCGGCTTTCCAGTGCCCTGATTATCAGTGCAGCCCCATCAGTGCAGCATACAAGTGCCCGTCAGTGCAGCATACAAGTACCCATCAGTGCAGCATATCAGTGGCCATCAGTGCACCCAAACTGTGCCCATCAGTGCAGCCTCATCAATGCCTCTTCAGTGCCGCCTCATCAAAGCAGCCTATAAGTGCCCATCAGTGAAGAAGAAATATTACTTGTTTGCTAAATTTTTTTTAAAAGAAATGAAGACAAAGGTTTTTGTTTTTTTTCAAAGTTTTTGATTTTGTTTAGCAAAAAATAAAAATCCCAGCTGTGATTAAATACCACAAAAAAAAAAGCTCTATTTGTGTGAAAAAATTATGAAAATTTAATTTGGGTATAGTGTTGCATGACTGTGCAATTGTGAAAGCGTGAGAGCACTGAAAGCTGAAAAGCCCGGTTTTTAAGTGGTTAAAAGCGGAGCTCCCCAAAAGGAGAAGTTCCGCTTTAATGCAATGTCCCACGCTCCCTGTTAAAGATTGGCACCTTGGGGAAGTGGGTACCCAAATTTGACAAGTTCCCACTGCGATCGCCTAGGGCGATCGGAAGCGGAAGTTGTCCTCCCCACCTCTCTCCCCATATTCTTCTGGGACACGTGACCATTTCCAGAAGACTACAGGACCATTCACAAAGCGTAGCGCTACTTGCGCATGCGCAGTGGGCACCCGGCTGTGAAGCTGCAAGCTGTCACAGCTGGGTGCCCACACTGAAGATGGCTGGCACCAGGAAGAGAAGACGGCCGATGAAACCAGCGGTGGTGAGGACGCCGCTGGACCGAGGGACAGGTAAGTGTCTGTATTTTAAAAGTTAGCAGCTACAGTTTTTGTAGCTGCTGACTTTTATTTTTTTTTTTTTTTTTTAAATCAACTGGAACTCTGTTTTAAGGCAAAGCAATCCAAAGCAAAGGCAATGCATGTTAATGTTAACTTCTCGCACCCATAATGTGGACCCAGCCTAGATAAGCTACAAACAAAGTAAACCCAAACTCCAGCTAACACTTTAGAAGCAGTAGTTACTGCAACTTTTTTTTTCCTGTTGGAAAAAAGTCTAACCCATATAAATAAAAACTGACCATTGCGTACCCCCCCCCCCCCCCCCCCCCCCATAAATTTAATATTTTTTTGCCTTACCTTGTAACTGCCAATTTTGCTGAAAAGCTTTGTCTGTAAAAAAAAAGAAAAAAGGATTCATAGCATATCAACATCATATCAACAGGTAAAAAAAATGTCAAGACAAACATCTTTGATGGACTCATATTAATATATATATGTGGCATAATGTTTTACTTTTTTTATTTCATTTATGTGTGTACCGTAGCCCTGAAGAAGGGGGGGGAAGGGCTTTTTTTCCTCTGAAACATGTTGGCTGCATTTCATGCTTTTATCCATTAAAGGTTTCAAAAAGTCCTTTAAATGAGATGAACTTTTGCACCAGGTGGCTTCTCCATACACATCCAATGTTAATGCTGGTGACAGACTGTCAAATTTTTATTTTGACTATTGAACGAAGCCCCAGTTGTAAATCATCATCTTTGGCAAATAACAAATCTATACTGGACGAGGGTGCGTTTCGCTACGCACCATCTGGCCAATGGATGAATCTAAAATATATATCCTTTATTCAAACATATAAAAAATGTATGCTCAGCTGTAATTAATGCCTATTGGAGTGGAATGTACTGCGCATGACAATATGACTGGATACCATTGCAATTATTTACCTTACATCCAATTGGTTAATAACACCAGACCAAATCAAATACCATACCGTTTTAGATGAAGTGACGCCATTTTGCCACCATGTGCAGCTTAGCACAACTTCCAGCCACTGTGTGATCTAATTTAATTGTTTATATTCCTTATATTTGAATAAAGGTTATATATTTTAGATATATATTTTAGACTCATCAATTGGCCAGATGGTGCGTAGGGAAACACACCCCTCGTCCAGTATAGATTTTTATAATTTTTATTTTGACCATAGTTACTCTCTAACAAAAGAAATCACTGACTGAGCCAGCTCCATTACAAATTATAATGTACCCATAGGTATTGACTGTGTTATTTTTAACATAATGTAATGCTTCATTGGAAAAAGGGCCTACTCACGCTATGGCACTGCGGTAGCAATGCATTGTTCATCAGCATTGGGTACCATTTAGTTACATTTATCACACCAACACATGTAGTGTGCATTGCGATAAAGCATGTAATAACATGTATGTTACTGCAACGCCATGGTGTATATGGGCCCTGATAGGTATAATGCAAGGTATTTTCTAAGAAACGTTTTGAAAGCAACAACAGCTTATCTTCCCTTCCTCTTTCAGCTTTGTACAGCGGTCAGAAATTTGGAATCAGCACTAGTATTGGGATAAGCGGAGGCCTTTCCCTAAATGGTGTCTGTGACTGTGTGGGGGTGGATTTTACATCCTGCGTAGGGCGCTGTGGTGCCAATTCAAGTAGCTATCCTTGTAAGCAATGCCTCGTGCAACAGCAGCCAAAAGTGTTGTGCTGACTACGCAGCAGTCTGCAAAATTTAATTCTAATACTTTGCATGATCATATAATTGTGAAGCTTAAAATTGTTTAGGGCAACCAATAAATCATTGCTATCAAGTATGTTCCCACAGTGCTTTTTTCATGAAAAAAAAAAAAAAAAAACTAGGCCAGGTTATAAAAAACTGCAGAAAATTGATGCGTGTAATAGACAACTTTGAGTCCTCTTTATATGCTTCCGAAACATTTTGAAAAAATAGAAGCATTGCATTAGATTGGGGTGTGGTTTCAGGGTTTGTGGTTAAGTAGGCATGGTTTAGCAGGTGCGGCTTAAAGCCCAACTTCATACTATAAGCTTAAGCCCCCCCCCCAGTGTTTGCTCCCCGTGCACCCCATTGCAGGGCTGGGATGTGGGGTAGACAGAAGAGGCAGCTGCCTTGGGCACTTTAGCAATAGGGGGGCACAAAAAGAACAGGACCTGCAACCTATGCTCACGTAAGGGGGGCACTCCTTGGCTATTATTATACAGGATTTATACAGGCTAAAGCACCGTGCCCCAGCACTGTCCCACTCAGGGGTGGACTGACAACGCATGGGGCCCCTGGGCAATAGGGGATCATGGGACCCCTGTGTCCTTGTGCAATCTAAAAAAAAGCCTATGAAAAAAGGTACCAGGGGCATCTCATGGGGCCCCCTACTGACCCTGGGCCCTCGGGCAGTGCCCAAGTTTCCAAATGGTCAGTCCGCCCCTGGTCCCACTACATTAAAAAGTTAGAAAAAATCACCCACTTTACTGTCCAGTGCTGTCCTCCATGTCCTCCTTTGTTGCTCTCCATTGGTCATTCAACCTGCATCATCTGACTTTTACTGGGGTGATGCATTGAGGAATGCACAAACTGTAGTTTTCAATTAAAAGTAAGAAGCAGGAAAGTTACCTACATTTGACCTTGTTTCAGCCTCTTGCAGCTCCTCTACAGAGGCTGGAGTTTGAGAGGAAGAAGCAAACACAAGTGGGCAATTAGTTCATCTGCTAAGACGCATGCTGATAGCAGTAGAGAGCAAAGTGAGGGAGAGGAGCTCATCACTGTGCAGCTTCTCCTTTCACTGTCCAGTTACAGGTTGGGGGTGAGTCTGGGATGCCCTGGGCTCAGGGTAAGTGGGTTGAATGATGCTGGCCATTAGACTGAGAACATCTAGTGGCAGAAAAAAGAACTGTGGGAAAAATCTCTGGATTGAAAATGAATATTGCAGCAAGAGTTG